AACCGGAGGCCAGCTGTGGTTAATTTATCTGGGTATTTTAATTACTCATTGCTTAAACTGTTATCCATTACTCAGCAGTTCGAAATGACAGTAACTATCATTCTCATGATTCTGGGGGTCTGAAATCCAGGTAGGACATAACAAGGATGGTTCTTCTCTGACCCACGTGATGCCTGCCAGGGTTGGAAGTTCCCAGACGGCTTTTCCACTCAGCTGTCTGGAGCCTAAACTGGAAAGGCTCGAATGGCTAGGGCTGGCCAGAGCGGCTTTATTTGGGCGAAGGTTCTGGGGCTTCACTTCTCACTGCCAACCACATCCCTCAGTCCCATACAGTCCTGAAGCCTTGCACTTGTCGCATGTCCCCTCTCCATGGTTTCTCTGGCAGGGGAACTGAACTTCTACATGGCAGTTGAGGGATCCCCAGGGCACAAAATCAGGAGCTTTCAGGCCTTCTAAATGCCTGGGCCTGGGAGTCACATAGTGATACCAGTAATGGATTCTACTATTTAAAGCAAGTCATAGACCCCACCTGGACTGAAGCGGAGGAACCTGAACGTGCCATGAAAACTGGGAGGCATGGCTCATCAGCAAAGGCCACTAATGCAAAAGACTACCACAAATAGTGTGGACACACAGAAGGTCCTGTACAGTAGTAACATTGGAATTAATGATCTCAGAATGCTAGCATAGGAGCAGGATTTTCAGAACGGATAAGAGAGGAGCTCAGCAAGTCCTATCTGCAAGAAGCAAATATAAAATTGGACAAAATTGTCAACAACATCCATTTCAGGACCCTGGAAATCAACCAAAGGCACACAAAAGACTGAGAAGAGTTTATTCAAGAAGAATTACTGAACTTGCTGGAGTAAGAGCAATGGGAATCTATGTGTGTGTTTTTTCCAGAGACTGTTCTTATCCTCCAACCCTTCCTCCATCAATTAGTAAATTTTAGTGAAAACTATCAGATTCATTGAAGAAAGGCCTGACTTAATATAGATCAGAAAGCATAAAAAGCCCATACTCCTGGGCCTTGTCAGGTACAGTAATGGTCTTAGTAGCAAAAGAACTAGGAAAAACAATGTCACAGACTGAGGCTGTGATTCTAGGTAGGGCAGAGAGGCTCAGTATCAGATTAAGGTGGCAGAAGAAAGCATCAATGAACTTGAAGAATTTCTGTTACAATTACCCAGTCTGAGAAATAAACAAACAAAAAGAATGAAGAAAAATAATAGAGCTTCAGATATCTGTGGAGTGCCATCAAGAAAATCAACATACACATAGAGGAGTCCCAGAAGGAGAAGGGAGATAAGAAAACGTAGAAAAATCATTTGGAGAAAAAAATGGTTGAAAACTTCCCAAGTTTGATGAAAAACTTTAATGTAGGCATTCAGGAAACTCAATGAGCTCCAAATAGGATAAAGCAAAGAGATTCACATTTAGAAACATTATAGTTAAACTTTCGGAAGCCAAATACAAAGAGAAAATCCTGAAAGTAACAAAAGAGCCCTGGCCAGTGTTTCTAAGTGGTTGGAGTATCTGCCTGCACACCAAAGGGTTCCAGGCTTGATTGCCAGTAAAGGACAGGTACCTGGGTTTCGGATTTGCTCCCCACCCTGGGTGGGGAGCGAGTGGGAGGCAACCGGTTGATGTGTCTCTCTCACATCCATGTTTCTCTCTCCTGCTCTCCCTTCCTCACTGCCTACCTCCCTTCTATGCTCTCTGAACAAGCAATTGAAAAAATATCCTCAGGTGAGGATTAACAAATAAAAATAAACGTAAAAT